TTATTTTATCTACAGGTTTCATCAACCACTGGTGACAACCATATATGTGGAAACCACCGATCATGACATTGAATCATTACCTTTACTCTACAATATACATGGAAATCCCCGATCATGACATTGAATCATTACCTGTACTCTACCATATACATGGAAATCCCCGATCATGACAATGAATCATTATCTTTACTCCACCATATACACGGAAATCCCCGATCATGACATTGAATCATTACCTATACTCTACCATATACATGGAAACCACCGACCATGACATTGAATCATTACCTTTACTCCACCACATGCATGGAAACCACCGATCATGACATTGAATCATTACCTGTACTCTACCATATACATGGAAACCACCGATCATGACATTGAATCATTACCTATACTCTACCATATACGTGGAAATCACCGATCATGACACTCAATCGTTACCTATACTCTACCATATACGTGGAAACCACCCATCATGACATTGAATCATTACCTTTACTTTACCATACACATGGAAACCACCGATCATGACATTGAATCATTACCTATACTCTACCACGTACATGGAAACCACCGATCATGACATTGAATCATTATCTTTACTCCACCATATACATGGAAACCACCGACCATGACATTGAATCATTATCTTTACTCCACCACATGCATGGAAACCACCGATCATGACATTGAATCATTACCTTTACTCTACCATATACATGGAAACCACCGATCATGACATTGAATCATTACCTGTACTCTACCATATACATGGAAACCACCGACCATGACATTGAATCATTACCTTTACTCCACCACATGCATGGAAACCACCGATCATGACATTGAATCATTACCTGTACTCTACCATAAACATGGAAACCACCGACCATGACATTGAATCATTACCTTTACTCTACCACGTACATGGAAACCACCGATCATGACATTGAATCATTACCTGTTCTCTACCATATACATGGAAACCACCGATCATGACACTGAATCATTACCTATATATATACGTGGAAATCACGTGGATTACCTAACCATATACGATCATGACACTGAATCATTACCTATACTCTACCATATACGTGGAAACCACCGATCATGACATTGAATCATTACCTTTACTTTACCATATACATGGAAACCACCGATCATGACATTGAATCATTACCTATACTCTACCAGATACGTGGAAATCCCCGATCATGACATTGAATCATTATCTTTACTCTACCATATACATGGAAATTACCGATCGTGACATTGAATCATTACCTATACTCTACCAGATACATGGAAACCACCGACCATGACATTGAATCATTACCTTTACTCCACCACATGCATGGAAACCACCGATCATGACATTGAATCATTACCTGTACTCTACCATATACATGGAAACCACCGACCATGACATTGAATCATTACCTATACTCTACCACGTACATGGAAACCACCGATCATGACATTGAATCATTATCTTTACTCCACCATATACATGGAAATCCCCGACCATGACATTGAATCATTATCTTTACTCCACCATATACATGGAAACCACCGATCATGACGTTGAAGCATTACCTATTCTCTACCATATACATGGAAACCACCGATCATGACATTGAATCATTACCTTTACTCTACCACATGCATGGAAACCACCGATCATGACATTGAATCATTACCTGTACTCTACCATATACGTCGAAACCACCGACCATGACATTGAATCATTACCTATACTCTATCATATAAATGGAAACCACCGATCATGACACTGAATCATTATCTTTACTCCACCATATATGTGGAAATCCCCGATCATGACATTGAATCATTACCTATACTCTACCATATACGTGGAAACCACCGATCATGACATTGAATCATTACCTGTACTCTACTATACACATGGAAACCACCGATCATGACATTGAATCATTACCTATACTCTACCATATACGTGGAAATCCCCGATCATGACACTGAATCATTACCTGTACTCTACCATATACGTGGAAATCCCCGATCATGACATTGAATCAAATACTCTACCGATCATGACACTGAATCATTACCTGTACTCTACCGTATACGTGGAAATCCCCGATCATGACACTGAATCATTACCTGTACTCTACTATATACGTGGAAATCCCCGATCATGACATTGAATCATTACCTATACTCTACTATACACATATAAACGGGTGTGGAATGATGAAGGTACGGTGATGTTACGGATGATGTAAGGCTTCTCACTGTAGACAGAAAGTAGTCGGATTTAATAACAAATGCCTTTCATATAGATGCAGTAACAATGATAGAAAAGACATAGATGGAAAGTAGTGAGTTAAAAGATGGAAGTACCTGAAGTTTCAAGGGCGAGAGTGAAGTGTAGAAGGTTGGGATATTTTGCAACAATACATGAGACGAACGCTAAAAGTTTAAACACGGGCTGACGTGTAGATATATACTTAAGAGAGTACTAGTCCTATACAATACTTACAAAATACATTTAATGCGCGTTCTGGGGTGCGCTGGTTCTAATAAAAGCCTTTTTGAGTGCAGTTCCTATGAAATGACACTATGTACACATGAACGACACTTGACAATGTCGGATTCACAGTTCACAACACAGACTGATTGTCGACCACAGCAGGATTTCGATCTCAGAGGGACTTTATGTAGTGATCGCAGTAGAACTGTGTATGGGGAGCAGTGCACGATGTGGCGATCGTAGCATAGATTTTTCTGTAATCACGGCATGGCCATATTTGGTGATGGTAGCATGACTGTTTATAGATGTGTCTCTATGTCTGACATGTGTCCAGATGTGTCTCCATTGCTAGTCGGCGACCGTATCTCTTTTGATCTTTATTAAGTCTCTAATAGTGATTTGACCTTGGTGGCAAGTTGTCGTAAATTAAAACTACAAAGGGCTATGTCTCCAATATAAATGTGAATATTTCAATCATATTATGATTGTTGGGGGGCGTGGCCGTGGCAACCAGGACTTTCAATGACATTCTGTATGTGATTAAATCAAAGATGACATTAAAATTTTGCTTTATGTATATGTTTTAGCAATTTACTTGAGTAACATACAACTGAACTGTTTACAAATATGGACATGAAATTTGTTTTGGGAAACTAGAGATTCCAAGATTTCCAACGGTACCAGTTACATCTGGCTTTACCTCTGGTAGACAAACGCCTTTATTTTGCTAGCCAGCTGGAGGTTGCCATCTGTTGCCTACAATGTTGTGAAAATGTCCACACAGTTAAGAAGATGCGAGGTTAAACATAGAATTTCATGCAAGAATAGCAACAAATAGGATTACTGTGACCTTGACCTTGACCTTTACACGGTTCGCTGGAGCAGTGCTTGGATCAGCACATGCATTCTCAAAAATGATAAAATCACTATACATCCCGAAGATATAGTGATTTACGTATAGCAGTCATATTCTCTGAAAAATGGCATGGGTACCATGGAAACGCCCCAAAATGACATGTTGCCTGACACTTTCAAGTCTGGAAACATTGGTTTTGGAAAACTTAAGATTCCAAGCTTTCCAACGGTACCAAATACATCTTGCAATACCTCCGGTACACGTGGTTCAAGTTTTTACACCAAAAAACACTGCTCTATGCAGTAAAATACTACGTCACACGTGGATGTGTTCACAACATTATAGGCAACACGTGGCTATGTTCACAACATTATAGGCAGCACGTGGATGTGTTCACAACATTGTAGGCAACACGTGGCTTTGTTCACAACATTATAGGCAACACGCGGATGTGTTCACAACATTGTAGGCAACACGTGGCTATGTTCACAACATTATAGGCAGCACGTGGCTATGTTCACAACATTATAGGCAACACGTGGATGTGTTCACAACATTGTAGGCAACACGTGGCTATGTTCACAACATTATAGGCAACACGTGGCTATGTTCACAACATTGTAGGCAACACGTGGCTATGTTCACAACATTATAGGCAACACGTGGATGTGTTCACAACATTATAGGCAACACGTGGCTATGTTCACAACATTGTAGGCAACACGTGGCCTATGGAAAAATATGTGACAGTGTCTGGTATGGGAGCTTTCAACAGTTCTGTCCTCACTTGTATAAGCTGACATGTTGTAATTATCCAAATATCGATAAAGTTTACACTCAAAGCCAGCAATAAACGTCTTCCAACCAAGCATTTTGATTTCTAAAGTTTTATGGTGTAAATCAATTTACACATAAGGCGTCAGAAAAGCTAGCCAGATGCCTAGTATTCGCGAGTTGCTCTTTCCCGTAAACACATACACCGTGATGAGATCTGTAGATGCTTTGTCTGATATCTGGATGGCTTCTGCACGCTGATTGATGTGACATTTCTAATGTGTTTTTTATGACGTTCGCCATTCGGATATATAATGTTATCATACATTGTCATCGACATTAGATGTCACCACGGTGAATATGGGGCTTGACTTACGGGGAAGGTGACAGCTTTTAAAAAAAACCCAGGAACACGATTAGCACCTGGTGGACTGACATCAACAACCATCAACACGACTTCAACACCTGGCACCTGGAACACTGACATCAACACCTGGCCCACTGACATCAACACCTGGAACACTGACATCAACACCTGGTGAACTGACCAACACCTGGCGGACTGACATTAAAACCTGGTCCGCTGACATCAACACCTGGCGACATCAACACCTTGCAGACTGACATCAACACCTGGTCCATCAACACCTGGAACACTGACATCAACACCTGGCCCACTGACATCAACACCTGGAACACTGACATCAACACCTGGTGAACTGACCAACACCTGGCGGACTGACATTAAAACCTGGTCCGCTGACATCAACACCTGGTCCACTGACTTCAACACCTGGAACTCTGACATCAACACCTGGTGAACTGACATCAACACCTGGCGGACTGACATCAACACCTGGTCCACTGATCAACACCTGGTGGACTGACATCAACACCTGTTGGACTGACATCAACCACTGGCGGACTGACATCAACAGCCAGTGGACTGACATCAACACCTGGTGGACTGACATCAACACCTGGTGGAATGACATCGACGCCTGGTCTACTGACATGAACACCTGGTCCACTGACATCGACACTTGGTGGACTGACATCAACACCCGATCGACTGACATCAACACCTGGTCTACTGACAATAACACCTGGTCCACTGACATCACCAGCTGGTGGACTGACATTAACACCCTGTCGACTGACACCTTTCGGACTGACATCAACACCTGGTCGACGTACATCAATACCTGGTGGACTGACATCAACACTTGGTCCACTGACATCAACACCTTGTCCACAGACATCAACACCTGGTGGACTGACATCAACACCTGGTGGACTGACATCAACACCTGGTGGATTGATATCAAGATCTGGTGGACTGCCATCAACAACTGGTGGATTGATATCAAGATATGGTGCACTGCCATCAACACCTGGTCCACTGGCATCAACACCTGGCGGGCTGACATGAATACCTGGTGATACTAACATCAACAGCTGGTGATATTAACACCTGGTGTAATGACGTTAACAGCTGGTGGTCGGACGCTACTCGATCTCCTTAAAGAACTTCTAGGGATTAAATCTGACCGGGAATGCAAAAGCCTAAAAAATCTTAGAGTGTCTGCTTGAAGAGCGTGTTAGTGAAACTCTAGACCGGAAACAGGCCTTTCTTCCACGTGGTGTTTTCTTATTGCAGATACGTGGACGATTTCGTTAGGTTTATCTCGTCTTAGTTGATACTTGTTTTAAGAAGATGAAGCGTTGTGGTCTTGTGAATTTGAACGTCAAAGTAGCATGGTATCTGGAACGACGCTACCTGAAAACAATGTATATAGGTTTCTAGGAACCAGAGCGGTTTAACTTAGATATCACAATCAGGCTGTTCGGTGTTAAGACACGGCACCATTATTGCCAGTACATACCTCAGGATCAACATCAGAAAATCCAGACTCCCTGTTCCTGGTTCCAGCATCTACCCTTCTGGGACCGGAAGTGATGGAGTGGATGTCCCCCAGATATAACAACAGAACAACAATAGCCCCCGTGCCGTACAAAGTCCCAACACCAGCCATCTTCCTGGGGCGTCACCAATGAATGACATCAGGTGAGTATCTACATACTGCAGAGCAGTCGACAGAAGGGAGGCGTTCGACCATGCAGCTCGGACAAAGCTCACCTTCAACGCACAGGAGGAGAAAGGCCAGGATTTGTCAAGTACAGTCTTTCTGGCGTGCAGCCGCGGAACGCTGTCATTATAAAGTCTGAAGTCAACAGTTTATGGAAGCAATAAGGCATGGGTACTCTCGCTCCCTTCAAGGTTTAGTGTCTGTATCGTCGCAATCTTTCCCTGCATTGTGTTGTTTGTACAGAGCAATGTATATTGCTGTTCTTTGAGGACTGGAGGAGTCTGTTAAGTGTTGTGGGACGGGGATGTAAGAATTCAGTAAGGCATTGAAGAGAACGAATTGAAGGAATTCGGTAAGATACTGGCGAGGGGCAGTTATAAGGATTAACCTGTGTACGTGGCGAGAGGGGTGTCTCAGTACGGTACGAGGGAAAGGGACTGCAAGTTGTCATTGTAAGGATTCAGTAAGGTCTAGCAGGATGGGATTGTAAGGATTGGGTAAGGTCTAGCAGGAGGGGATTGTAAGGTTGAGGTAAGGTCTAGCAGGAGGGGATTGTAAGGATTAGGTAAGGTCTAGCAGGAGGGGATTGTAAGGATTCAGTAAGGTCTAGCAAGAGGGGATTGTAAGGATGAGGTAAGGTCTAGCAGGAGGGGATTGTAACTATTAGTTAAGGTCTAGCAGGAGGGGATTGTAAGGATTCAGTAAGGTCTAGCAGGAGGGGATTGTAAGGATTAGGTAAGGTCTAGTAGGAGCGGATTGTAATGGTTCAGTAAGGTCTAGCAGGAGGGGATTATAAGGATTCACCAAGGGCTTGCAGGAGGGGATTGTAAGGATTAGGTAAGGTCTAGCAGGAGGGGATTGTAAGGATTCAGAAAGGTCTAGCAGGAGGGGATTGTAAGGATTAGGTAAGGTCTAGCAGGAGGGGATTGTAAGGATTCAGTAAGGTCTAGCAGGAGGGGAATGTAAGGATTAGGTAAGGTCTAGCAGGAGGGGGTTGTAAGGATTCAGTAAGGTCTAGCAGGAGGGCATTGTAAGGATTCAGTAAGGTCTAGCAGGAGGGGATTGTAAGGATTAGGTAAGGTCTAGTAGGCGCGGATTGTAATGGTTCAGTAAGGTCTAGCAGGAGGGGATTGTAAAAGATTAGGTAAGGTCTAGCAGGAGGGGATTGTAAGGATTCAGTAAGGTCTAGCAGGAGGGGATTGTAAGGATTAGGTAAGGTCTAGCAGGAGGGGATTGTAAGGTTGAGGTAAGGTCTAGCAGGAGGGGATTGTAACTATTAGTTAAGGTCTAGCAGGAGGGGATTGTAAGGATTCAGTAAGGTCTAGCAGGAGGGGATTGTAAGGATTCAGTAAGGTCTAGCAGGAGGGGATTGTAAGGATTAGGTAAGGTCTAGTAGGCGCGGATTGTAAGGGTTCAGTAAGGTCTAGCAGGAGGGGATTGTAAGGATTAGGTAAGGTCTAGCAGGAGGGGATTGTAAGGATTCAGTAAGGTCTAGCAGGAGGGGATTGTAAGGATTAGGTAAGGTCTAGCAGGAGGGATTGTAAAGGTTGAGGTAAGAAGGTCTAGCAGGAGGGATTGTAACTATTAGTTAAAAGGTCTAGCAGGAGGGATTGTAAGGATTAGGTAAGGTCTAGTAGGCTCAGTTGTAATGGTTCAGTAAGGTCTAGCAGGAGGGATTGTAAGGATTCAGTAAGGTCTAGCAGGAGGGATTGTAAGGATTAGGTAAAGGTCTAGCAGGAGGGATTGTAAGGTTGAGGTAAGGTCTAGTAGGAGGGATTGTAAGGATTAGGTAAGGTCTAGCAGGAGGGATTGTAAGGATTCAGTAAGGTCTAGCAAGAGGGATTGTAAGGATGAGGTAAGGTCTAGCAGGAGGGATTGTAACTATTAGTTAAGGTCTAGCAGGAGGGATTGTAAGGATTCAGTAAGGTCTAGCAGGAGGGATTGTAAGGATTAGGTAAGGTCTAGTAGGAGCGGATTGTAATGGTTCAGTAAGGTCTAGGAGGAGGGGATTATAAGGATTCACCAAGGGCTTGCAGGAGGGATTGTAAGGATTAGGTAAGGTCTAGCAGGAGGGGATTGTAAGGTTGAGGTAAGGTCTAGCAGGGAGGGTTGTAAGATTAGGTAAGGTCTAGCAGGAGGGATTGTAAAGGATTCAGTAAGGTCTAGCAGGAGGGAATGTAAGGATTAGGTAAGGTCTAGCAGGAGGGGATTGTACGGATTAGGTAAGGTCTAGCAGGAGGGGATTATAAGGATGAGGTAAGGTCTAGCAGGAGGGGATTGTAACTATTAGTTAAGGTCTAGCAGGAGGGGATTGTAAGGATTCAGTAAGGTCTAGCAGGAGGGGATTGTAAGGATTCACCAAGGGCTAGCAGGAGGGGATTGTAAGGATTAGGTAAGGTCAAGCAGGAGGGGATTGTAAGGATTCAGTAAGGTCTAGCAGGAGGGGATTGTAAGGATTAGGTAAGGTCTAGCAGGAGGGGATTGTAAGGTTGAGGTAAGGTCTAGCAGGAGGGGATTGTAACTATTAGTTAAGGTCTAGCAGGAGGGATTGTAAAGGGATTCAGTAAGGTCTAGCAGGGAGGGCATTGTAAGGATTCAGCAAGGTCTAGGAGGGATTGTAAGGATTAGGTAAGGTCTAGTAGGAGGGGATTGTAATGGTTCAGTAAGGTCTAGCAGGAGGGGATTGTAAGAGGATTAGGTAAGGTCTAGGAGGAGGGATTGTAAGGATTCAGTAAGGTCTAGCAGGAGGGATTGTAAGGATTAGGTAAGGTCTAGCAGGAGGGATTGTAAGGTTGAGAGAGTAAGGTCTAGCAGGAGGATTGTAACTATTAGTTAAGGTCTAGCAGGAGGGATTGTAAGGATTAGGTAAGGTCTAGTAGGCTCGGAGTTGTAATGGTTCAATAAGGTCTAGCAGGAGGGATTGTAAGGATTCAGTAAGGTCTAGCAGGAGGGATTGTAAGGATTCAGAAAGGTCTAGCAGGAGGGGATTGTAAGGATTAGATAAGGTCTAGTAGGCGCGGATTGCAATGGTTCAGTAAGGTCTAGCAGGAGGGGATTGTAAGGATTCAGTAAGGTCTAGCAGGAGGGGATTGTAAGGATTAGGTAAGGTCTAGTAGGCGCGGATTGTAATGGTTCAGTAAGGTCTAGCAGGAGGGGATTGTAAGGATTAGGTAAGGTCTAGCAGGAGGGGATTGTAAGGATTCAGTAAGGTCTAGCAGGAGGGGATTGTAAGGATTAGGTAAGGTCTAGCAGGAGGGGATTGTAAGGTTGAGGTAAGGTCTAGCAGGAGGGGATTGTAACTATTAGTTAAGGTCTAGCAGGAGGGGATTGTAAGGATTAGGTAAGGTCTAGTAGGCTCGGATTGTAATGGTTCAGTAAGGTCTAGCAGGAGGGGATTGTAAGGATTCAGTAAGGTCTAGCAGGAGGGGATTGTAAGGATTCAGAAAGGTCTAGCAGGAGGGGATTGTAAGGATTAGATAAGGTCTAGTAGGCGCGGATTGTAATGGTTCAGTAAGGTCTAGCAGGAGGGGATTGTAAGGATTCAGTAAGGTCCTAGGAGGGATTGTAAGGATTCAGTAAGGTCTAGCAGGAGGGGATTGTAAGGATTAGATAAGGTCTAGTAGGCGCGGATTGTAATGGTTCAGTAAGGTCTAGCAGGAGGGGATTGTAAGGATTCAGTAAGGTCTAGGAGGAGGGGATTGTAAGGATTCAGTAAGGTCTAGGAGGAGGGGATTGTAAGGATTCAGTAAGGTCTAGTAGGAGGGGATTGTAAGGTTGAGGTAAGGTCTAGTAGGAGGGGATTGTAAGGATTCAAGGAGGTTTTAGTAGGAAGGGGGTTGTAAGGTTTCAGTGAGGTCTAGTAGGAGGGGATTGTAAAGATTCAATGAGGTCTAGTAGAAAGGCATTGTAAGAAGGATTCAGTAGGTCTAGGAGGAGGGGATTGTAAGGATTCAGGGTGGTTTTAGTAGGAAAGGGGTTGTAAGGATTCAAGGAGGTCTAGAAGAAGGGCATTGTAAGGAGGATTCAGTAGGTCTAGGAGGAGGGGATTGTAAGGATTCAGGGAGGTTTTAGTAGGGAGGGGGTTGTAAGGATTCAGTGAGGTCTAGTTGGAGGGGATTGTTTAGGATTCAGTAGGTCTAGTAGGAGGGTACTGTTTAGGATTCAGTGAGGCATGGGAAGAAAGTTATGGGGGAAGGATGGAGAGGTGTGAAGTTTCTGAAGTAAAAAAGGCACTGCATTCCCGCCCCTACAACGTTTAAGTGTTTTGCTTGACTAGGTGTGTTTATTGTCCAAACCTTTTCACTGTATTGTGCCGTGCATTTCGCTGCTCTTCATAAAGACTACGGATTTGAAAGAGTCAGTAAGGCAGATGATGTAAGTGTGAGCGTGTAGGGGAGGGGGAGAACGGGGGTGGTTGAGGGGTGGAGGGAGAGAGGTGAGATAGAGGACAGAAGTTTTAATGACATGTTATGCTCCCAAGGACGTCCACTGCTATGGATGGATGGCCGATTCTGTTATCAAACTACCCCCCAATTTCTCAGGTGAGTTAACTCTTATGGTACACCTTAACAACCACCACACGTGGATTTGACAGTAAACATCTATATGTATATTTTATAGCTTCGTTCATCCGTATTTGTTAAAGATGTCAAAGTAATGTTGACACATATATCTAGAATCTTGCCATCTTAAGTTTGTAGGTTTGTGGCTGTATTCACATGTCAGTTGTCTCAGTGACCATTGTGTGTGTAGCCTTGGTGACCAGTGTGCGTGAGTGCGTGTGCGTGCGTGTGTGAAATTTATACAGTTAAGTTTGGTGTAAAGGTCAATGAAGGCGCCAATGGCCCAAGAGAACAAACGAGAAATTCATTTGAACACAGTGATTACTCATATCATTTTCCTTTTTCACAGCGATTCCTTAATCAACTTTGCATATTTGTATCAAG